GCTTTACTGGCAAAAGTAACGCGTGAGCAAAACGAGTGAATCTCTGGAAATAACAGACCTAAACGTAACTTCTTATACGCTAGATAATTCGTCTTCGAGACCTTTGGAGATTTACTGGTGCATATTAGAAGTCCTCAAAACGGTTTTTGGATCCATTATACGCTGGAAAAGACGAGAAAACAAAGACTCTAAGCTTTTTTTATGCTATGTCGTGGTGTTAGTACGCGCGAAATATGTTTTGTTAAGTTTCAGATGTTTATAAACTCGAGAGGTTGGGATGCAGCTCTATCAATTCTCTCTCTCAAGCAATATCAACTGATATATGAATCAGGTACTTTTCCTTCGTTTACTCTACTCGTTATCAGGCAGAGGAATTTCGCTTATTTCGAAAAATCTCAATATCTCGAGAAAGAAACTAGTGCCAGTCAGAAAAATAGTGTATTAATACGCCATCGATGGCGCTCTATTTCTTCGTTCAAAACGTTTTTTCTCAAACTTTCTTTTGATCCATCGTACAATGGCAGCGCAATTCACTCGTATATATTAAGTCTACATGAATGCATATATAGCCCTTAACGGGTGTTCCAGAATAAATGAACCTCTCAGTATTTTGCTTATACCTTGGTTTGGGTTTGTTTAGGCATGCAACGGTAACGATAATTTATCGGTTTATCGTTATCGGTTTTATCATATCTTACCAATTATCGCTTCTTGCCGATTATCGGTTAACCGAGTATCGCTTCTTACCGATAAAACCAATAAAGTTTCTAACACTTGCTAGCGATCGAAAGCAAAATCAGAATAGAGAGAGTGAGTTCGTACTGAGAATAAACTCATGCTCTCAGCTAACGTTCTTTATTGATCCTTTCTCTTTTTTTCTTTTCTTTTCTTTATATCAGAGAACTAGCAAATAAAATGTCTCTTCTCAGATATGTATGGTATATCTAAAAGATATGTTTCTCTTCGATTTTTGGCAATGTCTATAGTGATTCAACACGTATATGTTCAATTTATTCTTCATAACTCAGTCAGTTTTAATCCAAATTTTATAAAAGGAACTACCGTAAGAGTCTCAAGGATTTCGTCTTCTTACAAATGTAGGAAATTTAAAGACTTTCACAGTGTAACCTTCCAAAGGACGATCAAAGTCAGTACTTTTCTCCTGATATTTTATCAGCTGAAAGAGTCAGTAGAGTAGATTTCAATAGTGTTTTCATTTCTTAAGAAATGAAATACAATTTCTACATAATCACACTTACATTCATGAAGTGTGTTTGATTTGAGGTGGACGTTAAATCGGTAAGGACCGATAATCGGTACCGTTGCATGCCTAGGTTTGTTTCAGAGACTCCATGCTTTTTTTAAAAGATGCGCTGCGAGATACTCTACAAAATCATACCTAAGCTATAATTTCAAAACTTCAATCAAGAAAACTAAGCCAACCAGATGAAAGTCGAAAAAAATGAAAACTTTCCAAACTCAAAACGTTTTTCGACTTCAACTTTTTCTTCTGCTACTATTTCCGCTACGAAGTGTGGCAAAGGTGAGAACTCAGTTTATGTTTGGTACGTTCAAATATGCTCTCTCTCATGTTCTGTAAAAAAATCTTTTTAACGTAGATCTTGTGCTGGAAAACGAAGTTACAAAAATACGTCAAAAGTTGACAACCTCCCGTTTCCAACAATCTGCTCAGGTAAGACACGGAAAACATGATTGCAGTTTTGATTTTGCAGCCAGATAGAGAAGAACAATCATTTCTGATCAAAACAAATCCGACCGAAAAAGCTAATTCAGTTTTTCTTACTTTCAAAATGTTAACACAAAAAATCGTTTTTGAGTTTGAAAAGTTTTCATTTTTTTCGACTTTCATCTAAGTAGCTTAATTTTCTTGATTGAAGTTCTGAAATTATAGTTTAAGTATGATTTTGTATAGTATTTCGCAGTGCATCTTTTAACCCTTTACGGCCGGGTGTTGACTACCGGTAACATCGATCTATTAATGTCCAAGGAATTTCGTTCTAAAAGAATACACTTTGCCGATCCCTGTGACAGCAAAACAATAAATATAGAGGGAGGAATATTTTGATTAGTTAATTTTTGGCACCCGACAGAAAAGGAATATGCTTAGAAGGGGATATTGTTACTAAATGGCTTACGCAGCCGGCCGTACAGGGTTGGTTAAAAAAAGCATCGAGACTCAGAAACAAACCCAAACCAAGTTAAAGGCAAAATGGCCCTCGGAGATTTCCTGTAGTATCCGGACCATGGTAGATGGAGGTGTGGGACTTATGCCACATTGTAGAGCGACATCTGCTCTATACCGGTATGCATTTAGTGCAATAATTCTCTATGTGTATTTCTGAAATGACAGACCCGGACTTTTGCTTCGAAAAGTACACTATGGTAAGACTGATTTTGCCATAGAATTGTGCCTTCGGTTGTGCTCTTTCGTAATCTGAAAACCGTTGCTCTCTAGCTCAATCCGTTCTCGAGTTATTCAAAAAATATTCGAGTCCGCTGAAGTTTTGGACAGACCATAGTATTAAAGTGTTCATAGGTTCATATTTATAGTTCATTAGTGATAAAATAGATAATGATTCATCATCAGCTGACTTTGAAGGCTCTATATATGTGTATATATAAAGGATATCATCCCTATCATTAATTACTTAAAGAGAACTAGATAATATAGAGTAATATGTCATTATAATACAATAAAAGTAAACATTTTGTTTCTTTACAAGCAATTTCTGGATGAGATATGGATAGATGTGAGGGCAGCTCATCATTCTCTATCCAACCATGTGACTAAAGGTTAGTTTCTGTGTGTGTGTGAATAAATTTTGGGTGGATGTATGTTTTACGAATATCTCCCAGTCATTCCGTACTCCAGCAAAGCTAAGACAAAAAAAAAATATGGGTGATTGTGAAGACAACTCGGCATCCTCTATCCAACCATGTAATTAAAAGTTAGTTTAGGGGTGGTTGTGGATGGTATCGTATTTACAAATACCCGCTGTGATCAGAGACGCCTCGACAACAAGAGTAGAGACGGAGATCTCCCTCCTTGGTTTTTGAAATGTTTTACACCCAAATCTGAAAAGAATTTGCTCTGAATTGAGATCAACAATCGGCGTCATCTGACGTATGCTAATAAAGATAAGAGTATGCGGAAATGAAGAGGAACGAGTCTGAGCTCTAATCTGATGCTGCACAATCAGCAATCGTTGACTACTCATTATGAATATTCTTGGTTTGAGAGTAAATACCATCATATTTTCTTTTTTTTGTTTCCAAGAAAATCTGCTACCACTCGCATTTTGAAAGTTTTGCATTCTGCGTGCTCTCTTTCACCAACTTTGCTCCCAAATCCCGCGGTATAAACGCTTGACTCTTCGTATCAAAATGCCTATGTGTGCTGAGTATACTTTACTCCTAATGTTTGACGCTCAGGTTCTAATTAATTGCTCAGATTATGACAATGAATTAGTACTTTTTACTCTTAAGTTTAAGGATCCCCCACTCTTTTTGTAAAAGTTTCGGATTTTGAGCTGAGCATAGCCTAATGTAGAGGAAAGTTTCTGTACATTGAAAATTCTTTCTTATACATAGTGTGATAGAAGAAAGTGTTTTCTTCACAATGAGATGTTTTACAGAATTTTGCGATGAGTTTTCGCAGAGATATAAGCATCGCGGCAAATGCTCTGAAAAAAGTAACCGCGTACAAAATGCGTTTTTTCTCAAAAACTATTTTTTTGCTATCAGACTTCATTATGCTACATTACGACCCGCTTTAAATTTCATCCGATCTAGTTAAGAACTTTACCAGACGCACTCAAGACACTATTGTAGAGGTACTTTTTTTGGAATTTTATTTTAAAGTTTTCTTTATCGAGTTACAGGGTTTCTAAAATTGAAAACTTGAGTTTTGTGACTTTTTTCAGTATTTTTCCTATAACTTGGTAAAAGAAGGTCTAAAACTAAAAATTAAGTCTATTATTAGCGTTAAAATAGATGTTTATTCAATGAAAAATCATTATCAAAAGTATTTTAAGGTATGATAAGCTTGAAAACAATGTTATACATAATCCAACATTACATCCTTCATACTGATATCTTGTGTATTTGATTGATTTTTCACGTTGTATTGTATGAGAGCATACATGACACTTCTTTTGGACAGCTGTTTCTGAGGCAAGTGGCGATGGATAAGAGAAAGCAAAGCTCTTATATGTATATATATGTATACAGGAGAATAGGAAAAATATCAATCTAGACGTATTAGAATGTATTAGAAAAATCTAAATAAAGAATGTATGATAAAGTGAGGGAATACTTCACTATGTAATGTTATAAACTACTTAATACACTGTGGATGTTTACGACACTTTAGAAATACTGATAATTTACTGTACCAACATAGGAAAAGTATTAACAGACTATGTCCACTTACTTTTGATTGATTTGAAACATATATCATCGTCAAATTTTGAGAAATACTTCCGGTGGTATATATACCACGCCCATCCCGAAAGGGTTAGTGGAATTATGTCTCAGTTCGTTTTGTGTGTCAAAACTTGCGTATTTTACAGAAATCAGATATTCATTCTCATTTTAAAAATTTTTCGATTTACTCCAAAATCGGAGAACCCTCTCCCCGCTTCTTGTACTTCACGGCGTCCCTGGCAGTGGTCAAAAACGACAGGGAAGATGGGTAAGGAGCGGAAAGTAAGTAAAAGTTTTAAAATAAAACAAATTCAACAGCAGAAATTCAAAATACAGTTGTTTTTGATACGATCTATTTACACTCACTCTAGTGCTGTTGCCATTTTAGAAGACGGAAAGTGTTCTAACTTACGTAACTGAAAACAAACAGAAGAACTTAATTACAAAAAAAATAAAATTATTGACTGATTAGCGGTATGAAGCACCGCCTGGAAATCTGATATTGTCACATATTTTTTATTAGAAACAAGTTCGAAGCTAATATCAATTTGAGTCTATGTAAACTGTTTTGGTAGCCACACTGTACCAAATCCAGATTTTGGACCAAATCGAAACTGATATTTTCCCGGTGTTTGTAGCATTTCACCAGATCTGTAATACAGTCTCAAAGCCCTCGCCAGTTTTTCATATGTCATTTCGTGGCTTGTAATTCGTCCCTTTGCTTGTTTCCATTTTTCAGCCACCTTTTTCGGTTTGAGAATTTTAAATATGCCCTTGTCTCGATCCATGTATGTCACGTAATCCCGATATTTCGGTTTGTTCAGTATCAAACGAAAAAACTCGTGTAATTTAAGACTGCGTCGTTTATTTGTTATTTCAATCAAGTTTTCTTCAACAAACCATTTTTCTGAATCCACTTTATCCTCAGGAAACAAAAATGGCTGCTGTGGGCTTGTCTCCCTTAGCGATTCAATAAACGTTAATTCTTCAAAAACATCATCAGGAATTTCATAGACATACGCTGAGTTGTTGTTCAAACTAGTTAGCACTTGCTGTTCCACCATAGTTGGATTTTTCTCACATACTTATACCTCCACTTAAATAGAAAAATGGATGACCTTCGGGCATATTCCAAGTTGAATGACTAATGTTGTGATGAAAATATTCTTTTATTCGTAGACACGTTTTTCAAGGTTATAACTGTCGAAACAGAAAACGAGAAGAAAGGATTCGCATTTGAAAAATTCTATGATAAATATGTTTTTAAGTTTTGTTGGAATTTTCCAAATTAATCTGAGTCATAGTTGCAACAACAAAAATGACAAGTAAAGGAAATGAAGAACGAGACAAATAAGACATACATGTAAGAAATCGAAAATAAATCATATGTAAAGAATTTAACTCCAGTCCGACCGACAAAACTGGTAAATGTTTATTGCTTTAAGCAGTTAATAGGCGTCCTCCTCCCATTGAATGCAGATTATGAAAGAGGTAGTATAACAGATGACTCAGTCTGAATACTTGATCACTCTCGATCCTGTACTCTTGATTATCGCGAAAAGAATTTTCATAACAATGTAGTTCTTCCAATAGTTTTCAGATTTTGTTTCAGGCACACGCACCCAGAACTATGTTCGGTTCTCGGTTTCTTAGAAGATTCCACGCATGCTTTATATCCCGTTTTGAATCAAAATATAACCCAATTAGGCATGCACCAATTAATAATCGATATTAGGACATTAACAAAGTCGTTTCAAATCAATGATAAAAAAGCACTTAGAGCTGCCGAATGACTCATTCTGTGGGAAAATGTTTGCCCATATGACCTCTACCGCAGCCAAACTGAAGTGCTAGAAAAATATTAATGTTATATAGAGAGAAGATATAATAAATCGAAAACGCACTCAAATCGTAGAAAAATAATCGATAGTCGCTTGGGTTTTTGCAACTCTGGATGCTTATATTTCTGTCACAGATAAACCAACATGTCTCTTTTTGTACTTCAGTTTGGTAGAGAAAACATTTTTCTGCAAAATTAGACATTCGGCAGCTCTAAGTGCTTTTTACAACTGATTCAGAACGACTTTGCTGAATGGCCTAACATCGATTATTAATCGAGGTGCATGCCTAATCCCGATCGGGATATATATCCAAATTGAGATATAAAAATGTATCCCGATCGGGATATGCTTTGTCACGTTTTTATGAAGGTAAATGATATCAAGGTTAAAAAGTTAGAATCCAGTGTATTTTCGAACCCAATATTATTGTATAATATTTGAGTGACCAATAATATTGGTCCCAATATACTGGGTGACGCCCAGTATTATTGGATAGCCAATAATATTGTACAGTATCTGCAATAATGATTGAATCTATATATACCTACTTAATACAACGAATGCTTGAATATGAAATACAATAATAAATAGACACTTTAGTATTGACAAAGAAATGACATGAAAAGAGACTCAATGATATTTTGTTATATGTTTATGAGGAGTGACGATTCTTTTGTACTAGTAAAGTATAGTTTAGTAAAAATTGTACTTAAAGTAGTACAATTTAGTATTAGATAAAGCAAAAATCCATAATACCGTCCTGTCTCATGATCGATATCCCGTTTGGAATATACCCTATATTCCAAATGGGATATCACAGAAAATTTATATCCTGATCGGGATATTTTTGCAAAACATTTTGGAAAAAAGCATTACCGCAAAAATCGTAACGTTATTGCACAAAAGTGAATATAGCGTAAGAAAGCGGATGAAAAACTGAGTCGGAATCAAAGGTGTTCCAGTCTTGGTTTAAGGATCTACCGTTCACGACTTTTTAAATTCCAATAGGAATATACAAAATAGCCTGATCGGGATATTATCTCCTTCGGTATATATGCATAAATAGTTCGATGCTTTGATGAGCAGCTTATAAAGGAGTCAAATTTGTAGTAATCTATTGGTTCCGCCTGCTCATATCCTGTTCAGTGTTATAGATAATAAATGCGACAAAAACAACCGAAAGAAGTTAAGGTAACATATTTTTCGGTGTTTTGAACTATATAAACCGACAATATGTTTTTTTCTGCAATAAAATGCCAAATCGGTGCCATCATCACAGCAAATGTGGTAATCGTTTACACTCAGAGTGGCATGATGATTTAGAGTATTCTCTTCTGCGATAAGCGTTCGATCAATAGCAAGGTGCTGATCATTTTGAGTGAAAATGATTACTTTATTAGCAAAAAATGTAAATTTGTTTGTAAGTTATGTGTAAAAAAAATTGAAGATGATTTTTTGGAGCAGGAGCCACCAAATGCTGAGCACCAGAAACTCAGTTCAGAAACACTGTCAAATGATCTGGTAATTTCAGAAAACTCTTGTATCTAAGGAGAGTATTAACCTACGATGTGGTCATTTACCATAGGTAAAGTATCGCTACTAGCGCAGTAACGAATGCAGATTTTAACTGACATTATATACGAATTTGTTTTAAAAACAAAAAATATAAATGTCACTTAAAAATTATAAATGATACATAAATTACAAATGAGCTGATGCTTGTTTACAGTACTGCGCGCAGTTACTTCACCTTTTTAATCAATGTTTCTCGCCGACGATATTTACTTTGAGCACGTTTTGTCGAATCCTGTTTATACTCAATAGACACTTTTTCGGTATGATGTTGACGATTCGGCTCCATTTTCTTTTTAAATAAACTGTATATTAAGTATGAAAGTTTAAAGTATTGAATATCGATGTGCGTGAAATGTATAAGTTATATACGCTTAATGTCTCTTTTTCTATACTTAAACGAGGCCTCGACAGTCAGTCTTGTTTTTCATTTTTTAAAAACAGAATCAGAATCAGAGAACACAAGGAAAGATATAACATAATGAAAGATAATAACATAGACACAAATACAGAAAAAGATGAGAAATAAACAATATACTTCGCATTTTGTGTCGTCAGTATTGTTGCTTAACTTCTTCGCTATGATTATTTCAACGTAGGACTTTTACAAGTAAAAATGCTCGGTAATCTTGTTATGGATAAATCTAGTTTTCTTCAAAGATGAACTCCTACATCCAAACGCAAAAAGCACTGTGTCTTGATGTGCCTTCAGTATACCGTATCCCATTCGGGATATAAAAATATATCTTGATCGGGCTATATCCCGAAGAGGATATATATATCCTGATCAGGCTATGATAGCCCGATCAGGATATATTTTTATATCCTGAATGGATATATATCCCGTTCGGGCTATGAGACCGGACTGTAATATATCAATTATTAATATATATATACATTTCATAATATAGTTATGCTAACTCAAACGTACGAGCCCATTACACAATGCATTATTTCACCAATGTAAAGATAGAGTGAGACAGTATTAGTTACACAATCATACTAAATTAATGTTTTTTACTTTTAATACATGAACTGAAAATCAAAAGTGGCGCGACACTTTTGACGCGCACTGTATTTCGAACGACTTGAACGTTTAGTCTTATAAGCTCTCTTAAATGTTACAAAACGTCTCTTACGAATATATTTCTTTTAATGAAAAACAGAAAACCGTTACAAGATGTTAAGCTACTGCAAAATAGAGTGTACCTAAAATCTAGTTTCTAGTCATCAAGTTAGAGCGAAAAGCAAAATGAAATACACACAAAAAACGTCTGCAAAATGATTCTATCTAAAAACTATGAAAGGCTTTGCTTCAGTATTAACTACGATAATCAAATTCGTCGAAGGTGATACTTTTGTGAAACATTTTGTCAAAGTTTTATATAGATAACACCAGTTTGTACTGATTTCAACATAACATATTTGTACCCGAGCTAACTATTGAAATTTGGCAAATACTTATGAATAGTATCTACACAGTATTATAAGTCAGACTATACTGCTGATGTTTAAAAGCGTTGGGACGTACAGAAGTTTTACCAAGCTGAACATTAGTCGTAATTATCAAAACGTGTATATAAACAAAGATCAAACTTGTCTCAATTTTGATTTATATCGTTATGCTCGTATAAAGAGCACTGCAGGGTATGACGTGTTGACAACCGATAATCTAATCCATGAATGTTTTTCGTTACCTAACCCCAATATAACCTATGCAATTTTTCCACAAAATCTGGTTTCAAAAGCCTAAACTTCAGCTTTGTTCCAGATCATTATTGTTTCTTATCTAAACAACATCTAATAGAAAGCTTATATAAAATAAATCATATTTTGAATGAATAAAGAAATAAATCGATTAAATCTTTTATTCTTTAGTGCGAACAACGTTGGAAAATAGCGTTCTGAGTAAGGAGACCCTCTTAAGAGTAGGCCAGAATTCCACTTTAGCCTCTCGATGCTCCGAAGGTTCTGTTATTGTTGTGCATTCGCTATTTATTTTTAGCAAATGGAAGTTTTTCTCTGTATTTCATTTTTTAATTATACAAGTTTTCGGTTTTAAAATAGTTCTGTTCATTCGCTCAGTTAAAGGTTCTCCGAAACCAACAAAAATTGACTGAAACAACAAATCGAGGAAACAATCTTCTTCCTTTTGCACACATAGTGGTTGAACGGGAAAAGCAAGCATTTATACCAAACTTTAGATACTGATCATGAATATTTCGCCGAAAATTTATGTTATAATGTCGACTATCTAACTTTCCGTCATAAACGTAGGAATTAAAAATAGACGAGTTGCATGATACAACCTCTGTATTATCTAGAGAATTATATAACAAACTTTAAAAAGGCAGACATCTAAGAATTTTTTTAAACAATATTCTTTTTTATGGTGTCGTCCAAAAATAAATTTAAGACTACTCCTTATAGGTTTTTCAGGGTTCCATAGTTATTTTATAAATTACTTGTTAGTCTATGCAATGACTGTTGCCAATTTTATTTTTGTGAACATAAAATATGTATCAATTTTACAAAGCAGAATACGTTGGTTTGACATTAATACCATATTTTCTAAGTATCCATGGAATTGCAGCACTAATAACTGTGGCTAAAAGAAAGTGGAATAATGTTGAAATTGTTGGTGGAATACCGAATATAGTTGCATAAGATTCCATATAATTAACAATATTGTGTACATGAATAGATTCCAATTCTTTTTTAGAAATTATTTCAGTTTCGTGTCCATTTTTTTCGATGTATTGAGATTGAAAAATGAGATTTTGGATTGTACCATAGGGAGAAGGCCTAAATATTTCCATTAAATGTGCAGTTTTTTTCATTTTGTCGATTTGATCATTAGTGAATATCATAAATCCTAATAGAACACTACATGAACAAGTTAGAATTAGAAATTTTGCCAATCGATCTGGATCAGTTGTCTTGCGTTCAGAAAGCATATAAAGCATATAAGAGGCGGACCATATTATACAAGCGAGAATATAAACAGTAGAAAACATATTAGCGCCTTGACGTTTCAATTCATTTTCATCCTTTTTTTGATCTATAACTACTGATTCTGCCCATTTTTTTAGTAGAATCATGACATCCACGTATCGATAAATAATACATGTTCGCAACATCTTACTTTTGTTTGCCATATCAAGATATATTTCTATAACATAATAAAAAGCTGGTAAAACTATAAGCATATCAATAAAATATGATGCAATTCGAAATCCTGCATTAACTGTATACTCAACAGGAGTTGTAACGTTAGCTCCATTTATAAATTCATTGATAGAGCGAAACGCTCCTAAGCCAACAAAACCAATGTATAATAATGTAGAAGTAAAATGTATTGTAATAATAACAATTATCCATTCTGTTGACCAATTATTATTTAGTTTCCGAGTTTCATTATATGCTTTGATATTCAGAAAACTATATATGAACCATCTTTTCCATTCAGAATAATTGTGATTTATTAGTGCTGACTCTTGGTCTAGTTGCTTTCTATTTTCAGTTATATCGATTGAACGATCGAACTTTTCCCAATAGTTCTGATACATAAACCATCCTGCAGAAAATGGAATACACACAAATACAAGTATAATACTGATGAGTTTTAATAATGTTTTTATCCATGTGGCTTCTGTCCAGTTCTGCGTGGTCTGCCAGATGGTCGTAATTAAAAACGCTAAGCCAACAAGCAGCCCAGTTACCATTAAACATAACCAGTATCGACTCGTTCGCTATAAGATTTTACAAAGAAATGTTGAAAACGTTTTCTTATTTCCCGTCCTCTATTTTCTCAGATATTCATATTTTTCAGCATGTTTTCCTGTTGACCAAACTTTCTGAAAATAAGACTGATGAAAGGCGTTAAAAAGACCCTGGGTAGCAAATTTGAACCCGATGATCAGCGTTGTCTATCTCTACCTAAGAGCTTGAGGTATAAAGCCTCACCCGCCATTTGTCCCACTTATATCAAGTGCATGATTTAGCATGATACAAAATGTTATTTTTCCATCTGCCAGAACGCACTGCAAGAAATACAAGAGTACATAAGTACTCAACAGTGATTAAACCCTGAAGCGTTGCACCGCTAAAGTTATTAACATTTCTGTTCTGTATTCTGCAAAAGTTCCACCCTCGTATCTTAACAAGAACCATGTTTATTTATCGCCAAAACGCTCTTCTTCCAACGTTAACTTCGACGCTCCCAATCGATTTTTCAACTCTTCTATTTCTTTGGCTGCGAGAGAAACTATTCAGTCGTTCCAAAATATACTAACATAACTTTTTATTTGAGGCGTTATGCTCAACGTACATGTCCCTGCCGATGGCATGTCTAACAGCTTTTTGATTGCATGCTTTAACCTACGGTTGTCATTTGATGCAACACATCGTTTTAAGACCTTATCTAGTTGCAGGCAACGTCCGGTAGTTGCTCACTTTAGCCATCTATTGGGTGGTCTCTAAAAAAAGTACAAAAGTATAATAAAGTAACGGTTTTTATTGGCCATTAGACCGATGATATTAATTTTCGAATCTTCGAACTGGTCAAAGAAAAGTGTACCTTACTTTGCTTTTTTACTTTTTCTAGGGACCATCCACTTATTATGTATAGTACAGAGAATGTGGAAAATCGGGAAATATAAATATTTTCTAGGGAATCTATACATTCCCTGACAGTGTGCAGCGAATTTGGATAAATGGCATTATAATTCCTCTTGGAATATAATCAACTGATAAATTATGTAGGCGACTGATGTTAGGGTAGAAAAACCCAAAAAATTTAGTAATCTAGTTCTTAAAATTATGTTCGATTACCCTCTTTTCTCTTGGTGCGAAACAGTAGCGTGACGCTTATACTGGAATTGTAACATACTATAATACCTATGCATCCCGACAGGTTCAGATATAGTGTATGAAATGAGTCTAGAGTAAAAAAAGCCGCAGGAAAAACCGCATGTATAGAGAGGATAATCAGCAGTACAAAAACGGTGACCGGCACATTGATAGGATCAACTGTTATTCTTTCAACTGAGCAAAGTGTGTTAACAAATTATGTAGATATCTAGTTTCACAAGTATAAGTAGTTTAACTTCCTTAGACCTGTCAGTTATATAATAAAAAATAACGATCAGTCCAGCTCTTAGACAATACAGGAACATTTTTCAGTGATATTTTTAATTTGTGAACTGACGAAACGAACTGATCCGAAACGAATATGCGTTCAGATAGAACAATCCGATATCTTTAGGCTTAACAATAAAGATAAAAGTTCAGCATAGTTTGTAGTATGGATATTGTGGTATTACTGACACGGTTTAAGTAATAATTTTGATAACATGGTTTGTAATAATTCATAATCAGGTGTTTCTTTTCTTTTTGCTGAATTTTCCGGTAAATCATTGAAAAACTTTAAATTCTTAATTATTTCAACGTATGTTTCTGATGCAATATAAATATTATTCTTAGATTTATAATTTTCAAGTACATAACAATCCTTTTTCATTATTAGTTAGGTAACTAAATTTTACTTTGCACAGTAGAAAGAATAACATTTGATCCTATCAATGTGCCGCACCAAGAGAAGGAGGGTAATCAAACATAATTTTAAGAACCAGATTACTAAATCTTACGTGTTTTTCTACTCTAACATCAGTCGACTACATAATTTATCAGTTGAGTATCTTCGAAGAGGAATTTCAATACCATTTCGCCAAATTCGCTATCAGAGAATGTATAGATTTCTCAGGGATAATTTACATTTCCAGATTTTCTACTTTCTTTGTAAGATGATATATATACCCAAGCAAAAATCACCTGTGGGAAAAATCTAGATACATTTCATCTGCAATCGGGCGATGCACGCTAGTTGTCATCCAGATCACTAGTTGGGAAAGGGACTTTTAACTAGATACGTCTGCATATGCAACTAGCAATAGTTAAATCGATCGATTATCGCGCGATAAATCGATAGTTGCAACTGAGGAGAAATCTGGCAATCACCCGCTTACTAGATTTTCACTATCGTTACTAAATAATTGCAATCAGGTAAAAATCTAGTAATATGTATGAATCGAACGATATTAGATTTCCGTTTGGTGCTTGGGTACGCACACCGAGTGTATGTGACAGAACGGCAAAACAATTAAATTTCATTGGAAAAATATGAGGAAGGCGGCGTTTTACTTAAGTCTTTCGATTTATTGCTTTTGGCATCTGATAATCCTTAAAGTTCCAACAAAATCCGATAGTGTCAACTTCTTCCTTTGAGTGCTTCCTGTTGAGGATGCTTCTTAAACTTTTAGTTCACATGAAAAATCAAATGGATTTTTCTACAGATTTTGGAAATACTGCACTTTTTTCCAAAGTTCCTATTAGAGAATCGTTAGTTCACTCCAAGTTATAGTCCTACAATTTTACCTTCCTGGCCAAGTTCCCGGCTGGTTCTTTGTTCCTATTTCTTTTATAAAAGTTAAAGTCTAGCATTTCCAGATCAACATCAGGATTTGGTTTTCTATCTGCCAGTGTATCAATATTTGCGTAATCCGTACTCATCATGAAATTTTATCAAGCCAATGCACGATCGCTAATGCGTTCGTGTTTCTTTTATACAGGACAGAAACGTGTTTTGAATATTCAAAGTAGATATTATCGATAAATAATGTTATACGCATCACTTACTTAGTTTTTTTCTTAACGGCAATTGGATAAAAACACCTGTCTCACGGACGGTTAAAATTCATATGGCTCAGTAGCAGCTGAATCTCACTATTTATTAACCGAAGAATGGTGTTGCTTTAAGCTCATGTTTCCGTTTTTGATTATTAAGTATAAACCTGATCAAGGTTCTTTCGGTGATAATTTTATTGACTGGCTGTTAGCTTTTTTATTTACTATGTTAAACACTTAAGTATTGAAAGTATAAACCTTCATACAGCTAAAAGAGTATTTTCAATCTTTGTTCACAGCTATATATAACCCATTACCAGGCTGTCTGAATCGGGGCACGTGCACATCACCCAACGTTTGCCAGTATTATATAGGTGATTTTGGAAATTAATGGCAAGGCTTCGTCTGTGAAGATCGTAAGTGGTAAATTTCTCGAGTTTGTGAGTTTCGTTATTCATTCATTTTTGCGTTTTTCTAGAGTTGCTGAGTATAATAACTCAGACGAGTGACAGATACTATGCCATTTGGAATACAGTTGCCGGCGGTAACACTCAAATATCAACACCCGCTCTTCTCCTTTCAGCTCTTGTCAATATACCCACCTGTCAGGATTCGATGAAAATTCATTGCAGACTGCGCATGATAATGTGAACATCTAACATTTAAATTATGGTTATGGTTCAGCAGCTCAGTCAATTTCAACGAGATAACAGAGCACAATACTGGATTTACGTCATACCGCTCAGTGGTATATCGGTGTTGAAAATCATTGTTATGTTAGTACTAGAGTCGTGCCATAAGGAAGAAGATCATAGTGAAGGTTATTGCGTAGTGCCTAGCCAAGGTTATTGCGCAGAGTCTACTCAAGGTTATCGCACAATATGTCTTCTATAAATAGATCAATTTTATTGTTAAGAAGATATCTTTTTTATTTGTAAATAAATAACATGAATCGCACCGATTCACTAGGTTCATTGCCTGTAAGTCGAATGAATGTAGTTGGAATTATTATTCATTCTTTTGTAACTGGATCTTGTTACTACAGAATTTATGCATATCTTTGTGATGAGAACGCCCAAATATTTTCTACTTTAACAGAAGCAGTTGCTATAGCTTTTCACCGGTCAGAGAAGTTTATCAGAGTGAGTACGTGTTTCGAAGCCAGCTGTGGTTGATTTGGTTTTATCTGTAATGCAGACTTTCGAAATGGACCTAATATCACCGAATCTCTTAGTCACCTTGCCCTTGATAATGGAACCTGAGTGAGGGCAATGTTTGGCCTTGTTCGTGCAAAAGCGGCTGCCCGATATATCATAAATAACCCAATCATAAGAAGAGAAGTAGCAATTTGTTAAGCATGAGAGAGAAAACAACGTAACGCTCGTCTACACTCGATTCGCTTGACTTTAGGTACTTATATCTGCGAACGACCCTCCACGACTTTGAATCAAAGCAAACGCTCACACCTTCCTTCAGTCGGTATTCGCTAGGGACTATCTATAGTGCGTTATGAATATTTCTCTGATTTGGTTTATCAGCTTCATAATGCAGTTTAAATCTATAAACGTTTTCTCGAGACTCCCTCAAAGGTTCCTCCACAACGTGGAGTGGCTAATAGTGTGCAATATTCAAACGCGCATCTGGTCCGCTATTAAACTGAACTTCATAATTAAAGCTACTGTTAACTAGTTTGAAGAAATTTAAATTCGTTTGAGTACACTTTCTTTCTCACTAAGAAGTTAAGTTTGTTTGTTTAACTTAAGTTTGTATTACCATGTTTAATTTTGAATTCTTTAACGTTAATTCTAACTTTACTACTGAAAACGATTATCACTGATTAATCGATTTTCATGCAAAATAAATTAATAGAGAACGAGTGACCATTTTTCATTTTTTTACTCGAGCACCGCACAGATAATTTCTCTTTAAAGGAAACTTCTTACTACTAATAAATTATGGCGTAATTTTAATGAATCAGTTTAGAAATCTGTACTGTCGTACTTAGTATATATTAAAACAAGAGGATGCATGAGTCAATGTA